CCAGGCCTTAAATCCCAGCACTAGAGAGAAATATAAGGTGGGAGGAGACAGAGCTCAGGGCATTCTGAGGTTTGGTGGAGAGCAGTGCAATCTGAGGTTTGGTGGATTGCCCCTAAGGTCTGAACATTGGTAGAGGTGAGAACTCTCTAGTGGCTGGCTGCTTCATCTCTAACCCCAATATCTGTCTCTGGGTTTTTATTATTCATGCTACAGGCTATGTAAGACCTGCAATGCTGTGTTTTTCTTGTGTGCAGCTCCTGAAATAGGCTGATCACACAGTATTTGCACAAGGCAGGGAATCTGATGGGAATACTGGGAGTTCAGTTGGTACTGCATTCTGTAATAGCAATTCATGAAGTGTCATTGGATATATAGTACTATATAAAATCCAGACTTGCAACTGAGTTTAAAATAATAGGCAGTCCTATAGTGGATGACATTAATTCTCATGCAACACAAATTCCCAGCTTGCCAGTGGTTCTGAGAGAGGACTGTATGTGCCTAACTCCATTTAGTTAAGCTGGTTAATATTTACATGGAATTGGCCATTTACAAACTATTGTGCAAGTTAAATAGACAAATAGAAAAGTGAAATTTTCTGTAGAAGATTAAACTTTTCCTTACAAATTCAAAGGCATGTTGAGTAATTCAGAGGATTAAACATGGAAGAGCTAATTGGTTACCCACAGAATTTGCGATGGGAAGTAGAGAGGTAGGAATTATCCCAGGAGCAAACAGCTTTTGCAAAATCTGGCTGGATTCTTGTGAAATAATTTCATTTTAAAGCACATGGCTTCAACTTTTACTTTTATATACAATAAACAGTTTTGCCTTACTCGATGTGGGGGTGTTTTATATTTAAAAGGAAATATGTGGTTCACAGGGAAAATCTTGTATCTCGAGTTTTCGTATTGATAACTTGAACGGGTGTTGGGAAAGCCTTTGGAGTGCTGTGGCCTTTAATTTCTCAAGGAATGGCCTCATTTGGGCAAAGCAGAGTTTTGAACTGTAGAGTATTTCCATGGCAAAAAGTATTATCATAAAGTTGCCAGTTGGACTGGAATGTTCTGTTTATTTTTCATCATGTGTTCATGCACAAAGTAAACAAAGGAATCCATCTTAAACTCAGGGCCTCATGGAGCTAACAGGTGCTTAAGAGGCTAAGAGAATGAGAGGGTCGAATAATGTCACTTTCACAGGGCAGAGTGAAGGCATGAGACCCTAGATCTTTGGCAGAGCCAACCAAGAAAGGGCATGTCAGCTCTGGGAAGGAGCCCTCCTCTTCCTACATCACATATGTGGAATACATAACACACTGCTCACTGCTTTCTAGAACTCAGTCCAAAGTTCTGCGGGCTGTTTCTAATCCTTATTTTTTTTCTTGTAGGTATTCTTTATGCCTATCTGTCCTACTAAACTTTTGACAACAGAAGGCTCTCTCTGTCTCTATCACTCTCTCTCTCTCTCATCAATACAGCATATGGATAGGAATGCAGCAAAAATCTCCTTATAGATTTACTTGTGTTATTTTTGTTGATGTGTATGTGTGATTGTATGCTGTGTGGGCCCTGGTGCCAGGCAACAAAGATCAAAACATAATCTCTGAGAAACTGCAACTGCCTTCTAACACAATGAAACAAGTGGAATAGCACTTCATATCATGATCTCTTCTAAGTCATACATAATCACCCACACAGACATATGCACATGCTCACAATCACACAGTCATGAATACATACAGCACACACACACACACACACACACACACACACACACACACCATACACTCTTGTGAAGTTGTTTACTTTAACTTTCTTTCCTGGTAGAAATGTTCCCATATCTTTATGGAGGATGTTTCAAATTTACTATCAAGTTGCTGACTTTTCTTACTTCCCCAGTAAGTTCTTCCTTTACCCCCCTGTTTTGTTCTTTCTATAAAGGTGTGTTTTTTAAGATTTATTTATTTATTTATTCATATGCGATGCTCTATCAACTTTATGCCAGGAGAAGGCATAAGAATCCCATTATAGATGGTTGTGAACCACCAAGTGTTTGCTGGGAATTGAACTCAGGACCCCTGGAAGAGCTGCCAATGCTCTTAACTGCTGAGCCCTCTCTCCAGCCCCTATAGGAGTGTTTTAAAGGGCTGCCTAATATTTCTCATCCTGATTCATCTCTCCACAAAGGCATGAATATCTGACAGGTTCAAACTTTATTCAGAAAGCCCCCAGTAGCATGGCTCTGATACACAGAAAATGGGACTGTGGGACTGCGTCACTGTGTCTCCAAATACTGAAATCCTGAAAGTTGGCTTATTCAGAAGCTGATGTTGACATTCTGCCCCGAAACTAAGTGCATGTTTCCTTTGGTACATGTGACTTCAGCAGGTTCCATTTCTGTTCTGGTGTTCAAATGTTTTTTTTTTTTTTTAATTATAGTTGCACTTGTAAATATGAGTGTGTACTTATATTTTAGATAGAAGATTGGGGGCCTTTCCAGAATCTTCAGTTATCTTTCTCTGGAAGTTACTTAAATCAGACTTAGCAAAACATGTATTTATTGATTTATGAGTATCTGTCACAGAGCACCCTCAGAACTCAGAGAACAACCTGCAGGAGTCAGTTCTCTCCTTCCACCACGGGGATCCCTGGGATCAAACCCAGGCCATTAGTCTTGGCAGGCACCTTTACTACTAGGCCATCCTGTCAGTTCTAAATCAGACTCTTGATTGTGTGTGTGTGTGTGTGTGTGTGTGTGTGTGTGTGTTGAGGTATCAGACCATGAAGCAATCTTTACTGATAGTTTGCGTTTTTGTTTTGTTTTGTTTGGAGGACAGGGTCTCTCTATCTATATAAACCAGGCTGGCCTTGAACTCATGGTGATCCATGTGCCTCTGGATTCTGAGTGCTGGGATTAACAGGCTTGTGCCACCAAACCTGGCTAGTTAGTGTTTAATATTAAAAATGAAAGACATGAAGAGCAGTGAAACAAAGCAAGTGGCCAAGTATCCATCAGCCACCACTTTAGACAACAGCTCTAATAACTTGCTTTTGCTCCAGTGACGTGACCTGTAACTGAATAAGTCTGTTAAGCATCGTGTTTTCCAAAGAACACTTGATCCCTCTTCAAGCTCAAGGGGATACCATAACAGAAATATAGCTGTGTAGAAATGGCTTTCCTCTTTACAAACTGCACCAAGCCCTACCCTTGGGAGGCTCCTGTGCATACAAGACCCCGCCCCCAGCCTTCAGGGAACCTCTTTGCTTTGTTATTTTTGGTCGCATAACAGCACATACCACTTTGTAGCTCAGTATTTAAGCCTCAGTGAGCCCTAAAAGAAACCCTGTGAGAACGGTCTATTACTATAGATTTCTTTTTCATTGTTAGTATCCACAAATAGATAATACATGAGCTTTGTTCCTGAGAGCTAATCATATCTCCATCAACATCTGACAAGTTGACATTATAAAATAGGAAACCAGGAATGTAAGAACAGGACACTCAGTGGTGAGCTGTGTGCTCAGTCTCTGGCCCTTAGCCTCCAGTCCCCAGTTTCCAAGCCCCAGCTTCCAGGCCCCAGCATTCAGGCCATGTCTCCTCCCTTCACTCTGCTGCAAATCATTAAGTCCATCAGATTTCTATGTTTCCTTTGTCTACTCAGATTGCAGTTGAGCTAGAATTAATGGTGCACTGCTGGTATTAGAAAGCATGAATATGTATTCCTTTGGCAGGCAGGTACACTCAATCTGAGTTTGCCCAACTACTAAGGCAAGTTCAGATTCTCTGGCCATCTCGCTGTGTGTTTCGTATCTGAATACACAGTCAAAAGAAAACACACACATTTGGTATGTTGAAAGAGCGTGCAGCTCTCCTGAGGTATGTTTCATTAGCAGGGACTGAAAGGACATTCTCAGAAACATCACACATGCTGAGCACACTGTGCAAAGACAGGATGTCACAGGACAAAGGAAACCAGCACAAGTAACCATTTAAGTAACAGTGCCCCACATAAGCTCATTTAGAGAGAAACAAGGCTATACCGAAGAAAGAAAACACACCAACTGAGGACTGCAGCAAAGACAGAGGAAGTATCTGCAGGTACGGCTTCAATACTGAACATTTTTCTTAATCACGTATGCCTAATAGTGTCCCTACTTCTGCAATGAGGGCTTAAGTTTTTTTTTCATTACAGAAAGATTGATTTTTAGAAGGTACCTGATTTCACATTGTACATATAATTAGCCACTCTCTATAGTCAACTTGAGAGTGGAGGCAGAATGGAAGACTAGTAACTTGTAGTCAATAAGAAGTATTTTTCAAGAAAAGGAGATTAAAGAGCAATATAGGAACTGGGTGTGTGTGTGTGTGTGTGTGTGTGTGTGTGTGTGTGTGTGTGAGAGAGAGAGAGAGAGAGAGAGAGAGAATTAACAGCCTTTTCAGTATTTAGTAGAGCACATACATTTACAAGTGACCAAGACAATATATTAATGAACTTGCAGTAATTTTTTAGAAATAGAAATTTTTTTTGTTTTGTAAAGAGGATAATCATTCACATATATGTATATACATACACACATATATAACCATTCATATATAAATAAGATAGATAGATAGATAGATAGATAGATAGACAGACAGATAGACAGACAGATAGGCAGATAGAGGGAGAGCTCAAAACTTGGAAAAAAAGGAAATGAGTTGCAAGAGAAAATAGAGATGGGAAATTGGAGTAGGAAGGGGGGTCAGATGGTAGTGACTAGAGGATTTCTTAGGTGTGTGAGGCAGAGGATTTGAGAGGGCAGGTAGAATGAAATGTCAATTGTGGCTTCTACAGAAATCTGACAATATTGAACAGTACACACCCTGCTCAGGGCTGTCCTAACATTACCGAGGGATCCTGTGAGCCACTCCTCTCATTATGTGTAAATTCTTGTGTCAGTAAACTAGTAACATATTTACACTTTGTGTTCTAAAAACATTGACATTCTTCTCTTTGTAGGATGGTCTCATTACACCAGGTGGTGTATTTTATCCTTTTTGCCTCAGTTTCTAGTGGTAAGTGTTGCTTTCTTTATTTTTCCCCAATAAAAGACTTTTATTAATTATTTGGGAATTTCATACAGTGGGCCCCGATCATACTCACTTCTCCTTCTTCACAAGTCCATCCTCCCACCTTTGTACTGCTCTCCCCCCTCCCAAAGAAAGCTCCACTGAGTCCAATTTGCGTTGTCAGTATACTCATCGGGGCATGGTCAAACTTAGTGTCCAGCCCCTTAAAGAACACTGAGTCCTTCCCCACCCCACCCCCTTGCCAGAAGCTGTCAACTGAGCCACATGTCAGCATCTGTATCACAGTTTTTAAGGACTGCCATCAATATTTACATATGGCCTAGAAATAGGTCATTTCCTGACCTGTAGCATGAGAAACAGCCTAACTCCATGAAGAGAAATTACGTGGCACTCCCCACATGTTGTAGAATAAGTCCATGCAGCTAACTCCAGGGAAGGAAGCAAAATCATTTGTTTTCCAGACAAGGCTCCCACTAAAGGGGTCCAAAGAAAGAAAGAGATTTAAATACAGGATTACAAAGAGACTGTGCTTATATCACCTGTGTGATAGTTATGTCTATCTATTGACCTGCATCTGTATCTACCTACATAACACATTGCAATGGTGCCTAAGAGCAATATTAGAAAGTTGAAGACTTGAGGCACCTCATTGATTTGTTTTCCAAAACATTTTCAATCCAGTAACACACACATTTATACACATACACACACACACACACACACACACACACACACACACACACACACACACACACACACATTCTGGGATAAAAATGTTATCGATTAATGTACAGCTTACTCATTTTGTTAACTATTGAATTTGTTTATTAATTACTTAATATTTAGTAGAATTAATGAGTACAATTGTAAGTTGCCCAGTTAATATTGACCATAACAACTTAGTATAAGTATTTTCACCCCATGATTCTTCTTTATTTAAAATGAAAATTTAAAAATGTTTAAAATAATCTATTTACATTACATTGAATCTCTGAGACTGTCACTGGCCCTTAACCATAGTAAATTCTTTTTGGTGTTGCACATGTGAAAAGAGGCAAATATAGGTAGGGACCTAAAATAAACACTATGCAATATATTAAACTAAACAGTTATAATTTCATTTTTCTTTGTGATAAGATTTCTATTCAGGTTATTCCTTCATTGTCATTGTTTGAAATTACATTGTTATTTCCTTGATAATTTGTTAGTAATATCTTGAAATATTTGGGGTTTTGTTGTTTTGTTTTTTCTTTCCAGGCAAGGTTTCTCTGTGTAGCCCTGGCTGTCATGGAACTCACTGTGTAGACCAGGCTGGCCTCAAATTCAGAGATCTACCTGCTTCTGCCTCCAGGGTGCTGGGATTAAAGGCATGTGTTTCCACAACACCTCCTGTCTTGACATCTTAGACACTGAATTAAACAACTGTGTTGATATATACATCTTATTTATGTACATAGAAAACACTAATAAAAACTGACACCTCTAAACACATCTTGGCCTGGTCCTGCATGGCTTGGTCCTGGAAGTGACTGGGGTGACTAGGGAATGAAGAAAGGACAGACACACAGACACACTCACAACCAAGTTGGGATCAGGTGGGCTGTGTTCACTCTGATGGCGCAGCCTCAACTACAGCACAACCACCTGGAACTTCAGCACTTTTATTACGTACTGTACAAGGGATGTGTTAGCTAGTCTGGGTAGGAGGTAGTCAAGGAGTCTCAGATTACAGTCATCCATGAGGAGGAAGCTGGGGTTATTAGTTTTTATAATACCATCAATTTTGGCACTCACACCAGAGGAAGGTTTTGTTATCCACCTGAGCCTCACCCTGGGGGAAGGCTTTGGTATTACCATGGGTATGATGCATTGAGGTCCTTGACATAACCGTGGCCATGTCAAACAATAAACATTCACTAAGGATTTCACCTGCCCTTTACATATTCAATTCAAGGATTTCTCGGCTCCCCTCGGGTCTTCATAAAATTTGAAGGATAAAAATTATACAGGGTATGTTATTCAGTTACAAAAATATTGTGCTGAAAAATAACAAAATGGTAACTAAAAAATCTCGAACGTTGTGTTATGTATGCATATTCTGAAATTTTATTCAAAGAAGAGATTGCAATAAAATTTTAATTAAATCTAATATAATTAATATATGGCACACAAAACTTTGGAATGTAATCAAATTGGGGCTGAGATGACCTGTAAAAATGTATGCATATACATTAGACTAGAGAAAGGGTAAAAACAATGACAATGCAACTCAAGAAGGTAGAAGAAAATCAACTCACCAGAGCAGAAATGCATTAAACAGATGGAAACATAGATTAGAGAAAATGTGTAAAGGCTCTGCACCCCATTGCAAAGTGTCAGCAATACCAAGTTCATAGGGACATTCTGAGAATTATAAGACTTTTTGCCTATGAATATATATGCAAATATAATTGATAAAATGCTATCCATTGTAGTGTAACACACTTGAAATCTAAGAACTGAGAAAGCAAGGGTTGTGTACTGAACAATCCAACTCATATATTAAAGAAAAGTAAACAGGAGGCTAGAGAGACGGCTCAGCAGATAGAACGTGTACTACTCTTGCATAGGATCCCAGCCTAGTCCACAGTACCCATGCCAGGTGGCTCATAACATCCTGTGACTCAAGCTTCTAAGAATCTAACACCCTCTCCTGGAGTCTGTGGGCACACACACACACACACACACACACACACACACACACACACACACACACACACACGGCACACATACATAAACAACAAAAAAGTTTTTAAAATCTTGTTTTTAAAGAAAGAAAACTAAAAGACACTACATTGGCATAATGTGGCAAGGTTCGGTTAATTCAACAAATGAGAAGTTATATTAACATAAAAAAATCAATAGATAAGCTACATTTGTGGATGTAGACCCCAAGGAAGTGAAAGCAGGGACTCCAAAAGAGACTTGTTTACCTGTGTTTACAACACTGTTAGGAAAATGTAGCTGCAAGGTAGAAACATGTGAGCATTTGAAGAACATTCATCCATTCCAGAGCACAATCTGAGTATTTATAAATGGATAAATGGTTAAACAAAATATAGTATTACAGTATGCACATACAATGGAATATTACTCAGTGTTAAAGGAAAGAAATTCTAGCAATACTATGACATGGCTGAATCTTCATGGCATTACACTAAATGGAGGTAGCTATTTACAAATGAGCATATGAGTGATTCTACTTATATAACGTCCCCAGGAAAGCCAATTTCAGAGAAATAAGAGACAGAAGAGAAGTGACCAGGGGCTAATGATCATTTAATGAGTACAGAATTTCAGTTGAAAAATCTGAAGGATATCTAGAATGGTAGTAATTGTACATAATGTAAATATACTTAACTCCATGGCACTATACACTTGAAAAAGGCCGAAGTGGCAAATTTCTTCATATATATTTTACTATAGAAAAACAAAACTAAAATACTTTAAGACATCAATACATGCAGTAAAATTTTATTTCATAAAAATTTATTCACTTAATATTTAATATTTTTAATGTAATTTTACTCATAACAAAATATTTTAGCAAACTCAAGAGAAGTTTCCAATGACTAAATGGTATCTTAAAACAAAAAAAATAGAAAAGTTCAAACCAAAAGTTTTCGAGACATCTCATACATAATGGTGACTAAAATATTAACACCTTCTCTAAGGAATTGAGGTTAAGTAAGGCAAGATATCCCCAACTTGGCTATTGCGAATAGGAAACAATGAAAAGAGATATGCAATTATCTTTGGTGTTGTCTTATAGTCCATCGTGTATATTCTCAGTTCTACTTTTAGTTTTCTCTGAAATCTCATTATAGATTTCTATCTTTCCCACAGCCTCACCACCAAGGGAATTACTCACAACAACCATGATAGGGAGTATTGATATGGGATGGCCCACTGTATGCTGCAAATATGTGTTGTTTTTATTGGTTTATGAATAAAACTGCTTTGGCCTATGCCATGACAGAATATAGCTAGGCAGGAAATCCAAACAAAGACGGAGAGAGAAGTAAGAGAGCCAGGAAGATACCATGTATTCGACAAAGAAGTAACATGCTGGAGCATTACCAGTAAGCCACAGCCTCGTGGCAATTCACAGATTAATAACAAAATGGGTTAATTTATAAGAGAGCTAGCCAGTAATATATCTACGTCATTGACCAAACAATTACAATTTAATATTAGCCTCTGAATGATTATCTCATAAGTGGCTGCAGGGACCCAGCGGGCAGGGGAGAAACTGATCCAGTGGGATCGGCCAAGGCAGAGAAAAACTTCCAACTACAGAGTTTGCCTAGGTGTCCCCCAATAGATGAATGTGTAAGGAAAATGCTGAACATACAAACATTGGGAGGGGATGTTATGTTTTTACCTAAGAAAGTTTATTTAGTTTTTATTCTTTGAGGATTCCATACATTGTGTTTTGCTCATATTCACCCTTTCCTCCCCAAACTCCTCACATATCCATCCCCCATTCCATGCTCACCCAACTTTGTGTTCTCTTTTTTTAAATTTAGCCACAATGAATAATAAAATCCATAAGACAATGTGTGTGTAACTGGAGATCATCATATTAGGTGAAATAAGTCAGACTGAGAAAGATGAATGTCACATTTTTCAAATGTTGATTCTAGGCTTTATATAGATACATAAAATTATGTATGTATGTCATGAAAGTTGAAATGAGACTCTCTGGGCCTTGGAATCTAGGGAAATGAAGGAAAATAGAAGGAAGGAAAGAAATGGGGGGATGAATATAGTCAAAATACATTATATACCTCTTTACAAATGTCCTGTGAAATCTACCATTAAGTGCAATGAATTTATGCCAACATATGTTTTAAGAGAATGTCTAACATCACTTCTCTTAAACATTATATGAGTGACCTTACTTGCCACAGTAGGAAAGGCAAAAGGAACTAAAAGTCAGGGAAAGATAGAGATTAACTCATCATTCCCATAACACATTATTATGTACATAGAAATACTCAAAGTAATGAACACACTGATTATTGTAGGTAGATCAGCAAGGAGTCTAACTACAAATTCAATGTACCTTCAGAAATAGTGGCACATGCTTGTAATCTCAGGAATCGGGAGGTAGGGGGCCCATTTGAGGCCCTATCCCAAGGGCCTCCATTCAAACTCTTCAATGTACAAACAGTAGCTAATGTTCACCAGTACTAATATAGGAACTATATTGAGATTATGGAAATCAATATTATAAATTAAATGATTAAAATAGTGGCCATTTCTTCCCATCATGGATTCCTTCAGCAGCTATATGAGTGCTGTGGAGTCTATACTTTGAATGATGTTTCCAGATGCATGGACTTAAAATACATAGGATTGTGGAGGAAATTAATTATATTGAAATATGATAAGTTAAAATGGAAAATATTCAATAAAGATTTACTTGTGATTCTGAGTAACATGTTATGTGAAAAGATTCACTGGTGAGCCTAAACCTGAATAGAAATGACCAGCAAACTGGTGATGAGTCATAATGATAAAACTGTTGCCATTGTGACAGATATATCACACTACAAATATCAATCTGGTTAAGTGTTTGCATGAATAATACAGGTAATTACCACATTTACATAGGTGTTAGTGAAAAACCAGGTGAGGTTTTGTGAGTTGGTTGACTACCTAAGCCTTAATGAGCCTCACATGATAGCTTTGACAGACAGCTATGTACCTATGGTCCTCTCAAGACATTCACTGACCGTTGTTAGAACAGTACATATTTGAGTTAGAATTTATTTTTTCTGAAGTATTTCCATGGGAGTTTGATATTTATTTTTAATGTTATAAAGAAAAATGGATTAGAAGTATCTCTCCATGAGATATGACTTCATGAGGAACTGTAACCTTTTATTCAGTCACTAGGGAACAGTTCCGTATGGATTATTAAGTATCTTTTTCTAGCAACAGAGAACTTTTAAATTTTTATGCACCTTGGCTTTTTATAAGTAAAACTTATCTAAAGTTTTAACTAAATATGACTCAATGATTTTTCCTGGACTCTGTACTTCTTGTTGGTAAATGAGTCTACTTTGAATGTTAACATGACATTATATGATAGGTCATCAGTCTTGGCTTTTAGTATGTTGCAATGTTAAAACAATGAATTGAGGCAAACATGTCAAGCCCTTACTGACATAGAGAAGATTCCTAAAGATCATGTTTTGCCAGAGAACAGCTGAGAAATCATTGAATTAGTCCCATAGCCTTCCTAAGACAATCACTCACAAATGTGATGTCACTGAGGTCAATATGTGGTTTGTGGTTTTATTTCCATCTGGGGCTGTTCACCAAAGAGGCTAACCTAAAAGCATTAATTGATCTGATATTGAGTTCAGGCACGTTTCACGGGAAGTAGGCATGCTAGTGTTGACTTTATCAGAATATCTAATGGGGTAGGTGCCTGCTGAAATCCACACTAATGTGTGCCCACTGGTTTCATCACAGAATGCATCACTAAGCTCTTCAAAGACACCTGCTTTCAAGGAGGTGACATAAGTACTGTTTTCACGCCGAGTGCCCAGTACTGCCAACTGCTCTGCACCCACCACCCACAGTGCTTGCTCTTCACATTCATGGCTGAGTCATCTTCAAATGATCCCACCAAATGGTAACTGTTTATGTTTCTCTGAAGAGGAATTAATATCAGAGGCCAGTTACTTACAAATGCCAAGTACCTCCTTACAAATTTCCTCTGCCATTTTACGAAATATGATGTTACCAGCTGGAAAATGAATTTTCCTTCCACTGAAATATTAAATATTATAGAAAGAATAATGTCTAGGCACATTAGTGAAAGAAAAACTGTAATGCCTCTTGAGATCTCAAGGTCATATTTTCTCCCTCTGTCTCTCTCTTTTGTGTGTGTGTGTGTGTTTTCGAGACAGGGTTTCTCTGTATTGCTTTGGAGGTTGTCTTGGAACTCACTCTGTAGACCAGGCTGGCCTCAAACTCACAGAGATCTGCCTGCCTCTGTCTCCTGAGTACTGGGATTAAAGGCGTGGGCCACCAACACCCAGCTCCATATTTTCTCTCTTCTTTCACCTTTTGTCTTATATTTGTTCTTTTTGCTGCTGTTGGTTAATGAGCAACTATCATCATTCAATTAGAAAAATAGTTTATAAAAATATAAAAAATAGTGAAAATATTACACTAATCTCCTGCTCTCTCTAATATCCTGTCATGTTTGCTTTGTCTACCTGTATGTATTAAGAGCTAAATACTGAAAATGATTTTTAATATAGCCTTGTACCTCTAAATATTTCAATATGCATTTCACAACAAAGAAAGTCTGAGAAGCTTAACAAAGTTACCCAACACCATTACATACTTCAAATATTACTTATAGCAGCTAATTAAGTTCTCATTAAATTTCACAGGTTTCCTATGGCTGTTTTGTCTCTCTACTCATATTTTTAAAATATTAGGCATTCCATCCATTTCTGTCTTTATGCTTAACTGAAATTTAATATATAACCTTTTATGAAAAATTAAGTTGCCACTATCTGTTCGGTCTTGTGGGATTCATAGATATTTACATAGTGCTATAAACATAAATTATTCTTCTGAAATCTAGAACAGAGATTGGCAAGCCTATTATTATGAACAAGGCTAGGAATAAAACTTTAGGTTTTGTTGGACCAGATGCAAATAGAAGCATAATCTGTATTTCTAACACCATTAAAAAATGCAATGTTGTAGGGATTAGAGGGTTTAAGATTACTGGATGCTATTCTAGAGGACCCAAGGTTTGTTCCCAGCACCCACTTCCAGAGGTTTCCAATCATTTGTAACTCCAGCTCCAGGTGATCTATTGCACTCTCTTCTGGTTTCCTTATTCTTTCTCCTCCTCCTCCTCCTCCTCCTCCTCCTCCTCCTCCTCCTCC